TCCATGGGTGTTGATTGTAGGTCCAAGTGAAATGGAACCCTTGAGAATTTCAATCTTCTTTCCACTTATCATGGTATTTCTTATTAGTCCAGTTGTGAGGATTTTTGTTTTCTTTATGTTGACATGTAATCCATACTAAAGGCTGTTGTCTTTACTCTTCACGAGTAAGTGTCTTCAAGTCCTCTTAGCTTTTAGCAAGTAAGGTTGTGTTTTCTGCATATCACAGATACTGTTGTTGTTAGGTGCTGTTGGGTCAGCTCTGACTCATAGCGACCCTGTGTACAACAGAGTGAAACACTGTCCGGTTCTGTGCCAGCCTCACAGTCCTTGCTATACCTGAGCCCATAGTTGCAGCCACTGGGTCAGTCCATCTTGTTGAGGGCCTTCCCCTTTTTCATTGACCTTCTAGCTTACCAAGCATGATATCCTACAGGGAATCGTCGCTTCTGACAATATGACCAAAGTAGGTGAGACGAAGTGTGGCCATTCTTGCTTCCAAGGAGCATTCTGGCTGCACTTCTTCTGGGGCAGATTTGTTAGTTCTTTTTGCAGTGCGTGGTACTTTCAGTATTCCTTGCCAACACCACAACTCAAAAGCATCAACTCTTCTTTGGTCTTCCTTATTCATTGTCCAGCTGCCACAGGCATATGAAGCAGTTGAAAATACCATGGCTTGGGTTAGGCGCACCTTAGTCTTCAAAGAGATATCTTTGGTCTTCAGCACTTTAAAGAGGTCTTTTGCAGCAGATTTGCCCAGTGCAGTACATTGTCTGATGTCCTGCCTGCTGCTTCCATTGGTATTGATTGTGGAACCAAGTAATATGAAATCTTTGACAACTTCAATCTTATCTCCATTTATTGTGATGCTGCTTATTGGTCCAGATGTGAAGATTTTTGTTTTCTTTATGTTGAGGTATAATCCATATTGAAGGCTGTAGGCTTAGATCTTCAACCCTAGGTGCTTCAAGTCATCTTCACTTTCAGCAAGCAAAGTATGTCATCTGCATATTGCAGGTTGTTAACGAGTCTTCCTCCAATCCCGGTGCCACGCTTTTCTTCATATAATCCAGCTTCTCAGATTATTTGCTCAGTGTACAGATTGAGTAAGTATGGTGAAAGGATACAACCCTGATGCACTCTCTTCCTGATTTTAAACCATGCAGTGTCCCCTTGTTCTGTTCAAATGACAGCTTCCTGGTCTATGTACAGGTTCCTCACGAGCACAGTTAAGTGTTCTGTAATTCTGATTCTTCTCATTGTTATCCGTATTTTGTTATGATCCTCCACACATTCGAAAGCTTTTGCATAGTCAGTAAAACACAAGTAAACATCTTTCTGGTATTGTTTGCTTTCAGCCAAGAGCCATTGGACAGCAGCAATGATATCCCTTGTTCCACGTCCTCTTCTGAATGCAGCCTGCATTTCTGGAAATTCTCTGTCAATATACTGCTGAAATCCTTTCTTCAGCAAGATTTTAATTACATGTGATATTAATGATACTGTTTGATAGTTTCCACATTTTGTGGGATCACCTCTCTTTGGAATGGGTACAAATACAGATCTCTTCCAGTCAGTTGGCCAGGTAGCTGTCTTCCAGATTTCTTGGCACAGTAAAGCGAGTGCCTCCAGTGTGGCATCTTTGTTGAAACATCTCGGTCGGTATTCTGTCAGTTCCTGGAGCCTTGTTCTTTGCCAATTCCTTCAGTGCAGCTTCAGCTTCTTCCTTCAATACCATTGGTTCTTGATCATATGCCACCTCCTGAAATGGATGAACATTGTCCAGTTCTTTTTGGTACAGTGACTATGTATTCCTTCCATCTTTTGATGTTTCCTACATCATTCAGTATTTTGCTCATAAAAAATAAACAAAAATAAATTCACTGCCATCAAGTTGGATCTGACTCATAGCGACCCCTCCTTGGATTTCTGAGGCGGTATCACTACCAAAGTAGATTTCCCAACCTTCCTTAGAATCTTTCAGTATTGCAATTTGAGGCTTGAATTTTTCCTTCAGTTTTTCAGCTTGAGAAATGCCGAGCATGTTCTTCCCTTCTGGTTTTCTAACTCCAGATTTTTGCACATTTCCTTATAAAAATTGACTTCGTCTTCTCAAGCTGCTCTTTGATATCTTTTGTTCAGGTCTTTTGTCTTGTTGTTTCTTCCATTTGCTGTAGCTACTCCACTCAAGGGCAAGTTTCAGAGTCTCTTCTGATATCCATTTCGGTCTTTTCTTCCTTTCCTGTCTTTTTAGTGACCTTTTGCTTTTGTCATGGATGATGTTCTTGATGTCATCCCACAATTCCTCTGGTTTTTGGTCATTGGTGTTTAGTGTATCAAATCTCTTCTTTAGATGGTCTCTAAATTTAGGAGGGATATAATCAAGGTCATATTTTGGCTCTTGTGGACTTGTTTTAATTGTCTTTAACTTCATGTTGAAC